ATACAATGATCATATAATAAATTGATTAAAACACATCAACAACATCTTCATGCAGCAGAAGCATTGCTGTACATTCTGATGAAACACTGGGATCCTTTATTTTATTGCACAATAGATGCTTTTTTATCCTGTTCAGCACATTTTAATGGTAACATCTGATCACAAATAAATCTTTGAGTGCCTCTTATAATAAATGCCACTTTGTGTAGTGAAACTTCAATTATTATGCTGTTTGGTCAAGGAAAAGACATGAATGTTCCCTCTAACACTGAGGAAATCAATGACTCTGTATTCCACATTTCAGATTATGGCTTATTAATAACCAATTTATTAGGAGTTATAAAAATGCTCCTTAAACGATGTACACAGAGGAAAACAGATAAGACCATTTTAAAACTTTTATTCCCCTCAAATGAAACACATTTGAGCCGTTTTATTTTATGAGTTGCTGTTTTTGAAGTTTCCCCTGCAAAATATTTTTTAACGCTAAGCATAATTACCACTAAAACACACTTTTAGGCAAAGATTTTTTCACCCTTGCACACAAGAGGTCAAAAATTGCAGTTCTTTTTTAAGTAGCTTATGTTAAAAATATGAAAACAAATCAGAATATTAATTTCAGTGTTGAAGTATCAACTCCTCAAAGCTCTCAATGMGTCCACATGACTTTGTCTCCATGCTTACCTCAGTGTTGCACTGTGGTTGAACATTTTTATGTTATGAGGGAAGAAAAAAATAATCATAAAATGATACCAGCCAGGGAGAAGCAGCAGGCCTCCTGTTTCATCAAACCTTGCTCCTCAACATCTTTACAAACTTTCTCCAACTGTCAGCTGGATTTAAGAGCTTCCTAAAACATTTCCACACATATCTGCACCCTGCTGTGCATTTTCACCTCGACCACAATCAAGCTCACCTGTTTTCCTTCGAGTCGTTGATCAGGTAAAGTCCTGCCACGTCACACAAATGAAAGGAAGGAGAGCGCAGTGCGTTGGTGGGACTTCCTCCTTTCTGGAAACCTCAAGGAGCTGTTGATAGAGCGTTGATAGAGCGTTGATAGAGTGTTGATAGAGCGTTGATAGAGCGTTGATAGAGCGTTGATAGAGTGTTGATAGAGAGTTGATGGAGCGTTGTATCCCAACAACCAAGTTATTTGTCCCAGACAAGAAGAATGGCATCACAGGAGAGTGTTCTCCCCCCTCCCTTCTCTCTCCTCCTCTTCCTCTCCCAACTCCCCCTTTTCGTCTTACATCCCCGCTGCTCTATTTTCTGCTGGGAAGCCTGCTGAAGGAAGGGAAGTGGAATTGTTTTCTGAGATCAATGGCAATTCCGCTCGGAGTAAACTTCCAGGGTCCTTCTGTTTACCGCGCGGTGCTTTGGGTTTACACTTCAGCTGTCTGGGCCGAGCTTCCAGCCGTAAAACACACWGGAGCTCACGCAAACAGAACCACTTCAGCTGGAGAGCGAACGCCTGACATTACGCAGAGTCATGAGATTTCAGCTGAAACTGTACCTACTTTGTTCGTCTCTTTGTCTGTGGAGAATCCCGATCTGGATCTGCCTCGAGTCGGACATCCCGACAAAAGAGTCACAGTTAAAGCTGAAAGACATCGTCCTCCCCTGTCCCGTTTTTTCACCTCGTTCCTCCGTTTGTCCGTTCTCAGATCCGCCATCTGCTCACGATGTCACATTAAATAAAATGATTTGTTTCACATGTTTAATCCCTCCTTGCTAAAAGCCAGTGTGCATTCGCATGGATGTAACTGTGTGGTTAGGGCACACAACCACTGTTCAGGTCAAAGGTCATGRCTTTGGCTCAGAAGCTGAAGGTGGGGGATTTCTCACTAATCCTTACTTTGTTAGTCTATAAAGTATTAATTTATATCTATATAGAGTTTAATAAAAATATAAGAAATTAATTTAAAATTAAAGTTATTTTAAGATGGCAGCAATCCACCTTGGTCTTCAAACTAGCAGTTAACTAGGAAAAAACTATTTTTCTTATATTAAAGRTCATTCAAAAAGTTGTCCACAACAGGTAAGATATTGACCCCTCGTATCCTTCTCTACAAGACCTGGCTTCAAAGGATCTGAACTGTCTCTTTAAGTTATTTGCTGCCGCAAATAATAAAGTCTTATTTATAGCAAACTTTTGAAGAGTTGCTATCAACGCCTTCATTTACACACAGATTAACATTTCTCTTTTTTTCTTTTACAACCTTGATGAAAAGAAAGCAGAAGTTCTCACTCACCAAACTGTCAGACTCTTTCTTTTCCTTTCCTTTGGTTTTGTTATTACCCATCCTTTGTTCTCTCCATTAGCTGAAGCTCTTTGTTTCTTCCCTCCCTCTGTCATGGCCTAATCAGGGATCTGACTGACTTATTCCTCTGAACAACTGTGCCTTTAAGCAGAGAAATGCTTTTGGAGATAAAAATAGCAAAAACAACAAAGAGTTGAAGAGGGTAACTCTATGACCAAGAGCTACGGGCTTCTAATTCACAAGTATATAGACTATTTATGTATAACATGTCATTTTTATAATCACGCGTTTATGCACGTTTTTGAATTAAATCTGTAAGATAACTCATTCATGTTGTTCTCCTTTGATGCTTCCCTCKTTCTTTCAACGTGTTGCATGAGTTCAGTATTTTTAAAAAAAGGCCTTCAATRATCAACCAAATCAAAATAAAAAAGCTGTGACTTCAAACACAGAGTCGTGTTTAAGCATCGTGTTGCTGATTGCAAATCTAGGGTGCGGTGTAACAGGTGGAGCAGGAAAACAAAACAGACAAAACACACTGACCTTCCACAAACAGACAAAAAAAAATAAAAATAGAAATACAAACAGGAAGTGAGGATGATGAAGCAGAACATAACAAATTCATTAAATTAATCCAACATTAAAAGTTGAATTTGGGATGTATATTTAGAAATCATAACATCCTTTTTTCCCACGCAGATTTATTTAGCTTTTAAACTGGATGTCTTTGCTCCTCTGCAGCCTGCGTTTTATTTTCTAAAACATGTCAAAGACTGGTTAACTCTGAATTGTCTGACAAGACTGAAATTGTTGTACAACAGTGGAAATCCTGCTCCTCCCTGGGTTTGCGCGCTGTTCCTCCTCTTATAAGAACCTCATGTTTTTAGACGGTTCTTTTAAATTTAAGAAGCAGGAATCCTCAGCTGTTAAAACCAGTTTTATCCTTCATCCATCCAGGCTTGGGTAATTTGGATGAAAAACGTATCATAATATAGGAGTTTCATATCAATAATTATTGATTAGTGTTTTGTTTTACCTATTTGAAATATGGTCCAGTAGAAAAAAAGGCTGATTATAATCCTGCCAAACTGGTGACGTGACCTGTCCTCTTTTATCCACAATTTCCTTTCAAACTGTTGCATCATTTTCTCCTTTCACTCCATGCTGTTTTTATTTTTATTTTTAAGCAGTCATGAGGCATGGAGATGAAACATGAAGGTGAWGCTGTACATGTTACRCAACAGGCAGCTGCTAGCTTAACAAAGAGTGAGTGAGTGAGCCTTGCTGGGCAGTGAGAGGTCAAGTGWCTAAAGCCTTTCTTCTGCCTACATTACCCAGAATGCCGTGCAGCTGTGGGTCAGAGTTCYATGAAATTATCAGTATTCTATCAAATATATTTTCTATTGATCACATGCCTATTGTGATATACTGTGTGTGCTGTAGCCCTATATGCATCCATTATGTTTCATTTCAGGGGTCACTGGTGTCCATGTCCAGCAGGGGGGGGAGGGGTACAGCCTGGACAGGTTGTAAATCCATCACAGGTCCACACAGAGACACGTGAGACAAACCATTCACTCACTCACCTAGGGAAATGTTTGAGTTATCAATTAACCTAACAGTCATGTTTTTTTTGTCCGTGGAAGGAAGAAAGCCCAGAGAAAACCCACGCATGCACAGAGAGAACATGCAAACTGCAACCAGAACGTTACCTGGCTGTTCGACTGTTCAACAACACGTTCACATTCTGTGAATTCAAAGCCGTCACTGGTTTATAAAGCTATAAAAAAATGTAAAGGAATTTATATATTTATATTATTATGGCGGCACAGTGGCTCAGTTGGTAGAGCTGATGTCTCTCAGCAAGAAGGTTGCTGGATCAAATCCCGGTCCGGGGACCTTTCTGGGTAGAGTTTGCATGTTCTCTCCATGCATGTGTGGGTTYTCTCCGGGCACWCCGGCTTCCTCCCACAGACTAAAAACATGACTGTTAGGTTAATTGATAACTCTAAATTGTCCTTAGGTGTGAGTGAGAGAGTGAATGGTTGTTTGTCTCTATGTGTGTCTCTGTGATGGACTTGTGACCTGTTCAGGGTGGACCCCGCCCCTCACACTGTGGCTGCTGTATATGAGCACCAGTGACCCCCCGTGACCCTAAAAGGAAGAAACAGTTATAGATAACGGATGGAATTTATATTCTAGCAATTTTCATTAAACATGAAAGGCCACCAGGACTCAAAATAATAATTTCTGTTGAAAAGTTTAATCTTTATTTGTTGTTTAATTCTGATTAAGTATTTTAAAATTCCCATTTATTACCTGCAGAAACAATTAATTAAAAAGTTATTACTAAAAAAACTATTTGCAGAGAGAGAGGGGAAAATCTCTGTGGATTCACTAAAAAGTGCAAGATTGAATGTTTATGATGAAAATTAACATTACAGTTATTACTAAAAAAACTATTTGCAGAGAGAGAGAGGAAAATCTCTGTGGATTCACTAAAAAGTGCAAGATTGAATGTTTATGATGAAAATTAACATTACATCTATTCTTAATTTGTTTTTCAGCAAAATTCAAATCCACAGAGGCTGTTCAGTGCATTAAGTAAAACCTACACACAAAGATGTTATTATATGAGGTCAGCCAAAATATATAACTCTACTGGAACATTATCAGCTGATTTTAGCTTATTTGTCTGTTGATAGTGCCTCGTATGCTGACAATGAAGTCAAAATGCCTCCCCTAAAAGGTGCCCCGCGACTCTAAATGTCCTGCATCAGAAAGTCTTAAAACTGTTTTATCACTGTTTTTATTCCAGGAGTTTTCATTAGATTATTGAATGTTGAATGAAAGCAAACATATCTGCTGTCRTAGACCTCGCCTGTTCCTCCCGCACCCAATCCAGAACAAGGTTATCAAGATATGGAGAGACCAAAGGTAAACATGGATTCTTAAGGCTGGATTTTCCACCCACCGCCACCAGCATCCGCAGCATGCCACCCGTGGAGAATGAGCGGCATTACAAACACAGGAAGGGGGATATCTACCAGACCCCCTTCACCCAGGACACCCACCTAACTCTGTCACGAGGACAGTGTGTGTGAGTGTGTGTAGTAGAGGTACAGTAACTAAGTACATTAACTTTGTTACTGTACTTAAGTATTTTTTAAATTGTAACTTTTTAATTTTTTTACATTCAAAACCTAAAAATGATACTTTTCYTTCTTWACTTTAAAATGTRACACCTAGTTTCACAATATAAATATAAATATAAATATGACCAAATTTATCTTGAAATAAGAGGTTTAGGTACTCTAAAAATGAAGTGTTGAATTTACTTAACCAAGTAACTGCTTCCACTGAGCTAGAGTAAATGTAAAACAATTAAAGGGCCAATATTATGTGTTTCTCCTGCATACATTTAAATACTATACCATAACAAAGTATCCATGTTACCTTTAGCTGTTA